TAGAGAAATTCATATGAAATCTTATTAGATTATCCCAAATTGATTTTCAAAGTGGCTTTTAGTCATTTACAGTGTTTCTCTTTATATGCACATGTATACATCTACATGCAGATATACATATGTATGTATGTATTTATTACAGTTAACATGGTGATTAATATCTTCCTACCCCAATATACTCACTTTTTCTTCTTTTTAAGGATTACTTATTCCCATAAGCAGAATCATTGATTTAGAAGATGAGAATTCTGTTATTCTCATAAGCTAGCCACCTTATTTTAATTTTTCAAATTATTTTACTTTATTTCTAATTTACTCTTTAGTTTTATTTGTTAAGAAGGTTACATATGCATAGCATACTCAAATAGTTCTATAAGATTTATTATTTAAAAAATAACAATGCCTTTACCCTTTACTTTTCCCCAGAGGCAGTCATTTCAAAACGTTTTTGCTGATTCTCATGGTATTTACCCCCATATTTAACTAACCTACCTGTGTTTCCACATTTTAGTTTTTAACTTCTTTGGCTTTCTATAATGAAGCATGAAGATTTAGCCTCTTTGATTTCTTCTGATTTCAAGCATCATCCCAACTTTACACATGAACCCTTCCCTCATCTCTTTTGTTCCAAATCAACAATTTAGTGCTACCATATGAAAAGTAAATGCACTGAATCATTTACCAAACTATAATTACCCTTCTTTTTGTTTGTTTTAAACAAAGGAGGATGATGGTAGCGGAAGAGGCAGCGAGGATTTTGGAATCAATAAAGAGGATTTGTGTTGCAAAATAGAAAGAGAAATTGTTAGTTAACAGGAAGCCATAGATTTCGTGAGTGGGAGAGAAGCATGAGAACATTTATTCTGCTAGCCAGGTGTAGTACTGATTAGAACACTGAAAGTCTATTAAAATGACAGGCATATATCTTAGTAATAAAAGGCATATTGAGATACTGGTTTAGTCTGAAGACTAAAGATATAAAAAGAAATGGGTAGTCCCAGGAAATAATACAAGAACCAATCGCTGAGATCAAGTGACTGCCTGGGGGCAAAGCATATGAAATTTATTCTGAAGTTTTAGTGTTTTAGACCAGGACAGTGGTAATAGGGGAAACTGGAATTTATTTTTTAGTACCTTAAATTTCAAAGACTTGTGTATATTTGACAAAAAATTGCTTATGATTATGTTATCCATCCTCTTGATACCTGTGTCAGATGTTTTGGTTGAATTCCTTTTTTTTCTAATATTAGATTAAATTTTTCTCAGGGTAAACAAAGAGATGACTGATATCATTTCTTTTCCATCAAAAGTAGTCTCATTTTCTCGCTTCTAAGGAGGTGATATGTTAAAGCCAAAGGATCATGTTGGTTTCTTCATACATATTTTTGTATGGGAAAGGATTCAACAGGTATTAGTAATAAGTGACAGAAAGAGAAATCTGGCTGTGTACTTCACATGTATTAAAGTTTAATTGTTAAAGTGTGACTAATGCTGGCATATTTCAAAATTTGACATTTTAGGACATTTTATATATTTCAAAATTTTTCCTTTTTATTGAACATCAAGATATGAGTTTTTAATTCTGTCATTGTTCCAGTTTGTCTTAATTTAATTCCCCAGTTAATTTTTTTTTTAAATCTATTTGACAGAGAGAGGCAGAGGCAGTAGGCAGAGCAGCAGGCAGAGAGAGAGGGGGAAGCAGGCTCCCTGCAGAGCAGAGAGCCTGAGACGGGGCTGAATCCCAGGACCCTGAAACTTACCTGAGCTGAAGGCAGAGGCTTAACCCACTGAGCCACGCAGGTGCTCTCCCCAGTTAATTTTGATAAGATTTTACATCTTTATTCTTTCACTGAGCAAACTGGAGTACTATGGGAGGAATGCTATCTATCCTTTGAATATAAAGTTTTCTTCTTTCTGAGACTTGTGGGATTGGCCTGGGATGATCTAGTGAAAATATGGAAGTGAGATCTGGATTTAAATTCTTCTTTGATGGGACGCCTGGGTGGTTCAGTTGGTTAAGCAGCTGCCTTCGGCTCAGGTCATGATCCCAGCGTCCTGGGATCGAGTCCCGCATTGGGCTCCTTGCTCGGCAGGGAGCCTGCTTCTTCCTCTGCCTCTGCCTGCCACTCTGTCTGCCTGTGCTCTCTCTCTCTCTCTCTCTCTGACAAATAAATAAACAAAATCTTTAAAAAAAAAAAAAATTCTTCTTTGCTGCCTACTAGCCAACTGAATTTTTAATAATTCAATAATATTTCTAGCAAGGCTGTTTAAAATATTACATATAATGGAAACATACATAAAATAATAAAAAGATATTTTGTGTCTGATTTAATGCCCTCTGTATGTTATGTGTTCAAAATTATATTTATTGTTATTGGAATCATCATCATCATCTTGTCCTTGGCCCCATTCCCTAGATATATTTCACAAAGAGCAGATTGTGAAGACTTGAAACACTGATAGCCATTGTATGGGACAATTAAACAAGAGCGGACAACTTGGTGTAATCCCTCCACTCTCCTGGCTAGGTGCTTGGGGGTGTTGCTACTTTGTTTTTCTGTTGTTTTTCACTTCTGTACTGAACCTCTTTTATTAAAAAGCTGGTTTGTGGAGTAATCAGTAAGGAAAATAATAGGGCCTTTCTCCCTCCCAGGCAATAGAATCCTTTATATTCCAAGCCTAGTATTTTGATTATTTTTTAAGTGATTATACAGTGTGGATGAACAGAATGGGGCAGTGGGTGAAGGAGTCGGTTAGATAATGTGATGGGGGCCATTGTTTACCTTAAATAAGTATTAGAATTAATCATTTGTATTCCTCTCACCCCTATTGGATGGTAGACTGTGATAACATAAACAATATTTACTTTCTTTTTGTTCCCATAACACCTAGCATAATACATTTTATCTTTATCTTTCAGAGATTGCAACTTTGTGCTTTGTTTTCCTTTCTTAGATTTTGCTACTTGGGGTGAGAAATTAAGTCTGGCTCGTTTCTTTGGTGTCTGTGATTTATAAATGTTTGATACTCAATAAAAGGTTTGAATGAATGATTTGAATTGTCTCCAGAGTGACAGATCAGCATTCATAAGAATAAAGCAACTTTTGGCTTTGTTTATCTCTAGAAAATTATAAATGGAAGGAACCTTAAGGTTTATATCCTCTAGCTCTTTGTTTTTCAAATAAAGTAACTGCTACCAAAGGTGGCAAGACTTATATTCAGAAATATATATGGAAGAAATAGAATCCAGACAGATCTCTTACTCATAGTGTCTCTCCCCCCCCCTTCTTTTTTTCTTACTTGTAGTATTTTTCCTCTTCAGATTACAGAAAAAAAGAAACACATTGATAACTGGCTTGAAAAGAAAATACTTATTTTCTATTATGTGCATGCCTGTAGTTTGATTCTATATTGTCTAGTAAGTATTTTAGGGTAAACATAGCATTTCCTTATTGATCATTACCATGACTGGGGTCAAATATAGTTTTCAAAAAATTCTCTGAAAAATAAAATTTAAAATTAAAAAATCAGATTAAAAACTTTTTTGTGTATTATAATCCACCCTACATTTGCATAATGGATTGGTATATAAAGTACTTTGGCATTTGTTAACTTATTTTGATTCTGATGATAGTTTTAAGAGTTAAATAGGGCGTGATTTATATGCTGTTGGCATTTTACAGGTGAAAAAATTGAGGCTCAATGAGGCTATATCTTGTGACTGTGATCACTTCGTGAGTAAATTATGAGGCAGAATCCTAAGCCCATATGATTTAAAGGGGGTTTTGATGTTGTTGTTGTTGTTGTTTGATTTAAAGGTTTTTCAAAACTCTTTTCACTGGGGTAGGCTAAAGTCCCTTTAAATATGCACATTTAACAAAAATGCTTATGGTTGAGGTGCCATTAGCAATAACCACTGTTCAGCTGCCCTTCTGTTTCATTTCTTTTTGTCATCTTGTGTAGTACTAACGATGTATATGGTGTTTAGTCAGTAGATATTGGAGTGGATAGTTAACTAAGTGGTTAGTTAGCATTCAGTAGGTAGTATGCTGTGACTTTGCTTAAGTAAAAGATGATAATATGTAAGTGCTTGAAATATATTTTAAGAAGACTTAAAAAATCAGTTCCAATTAAAAGAATATGGTGAAAAACAGATTTGATATTCTGTTGAGTAACTAGAAAACAAAGTAATCTTCTACATAATGCAGTTGTGTTTTTTTAGAAATAATTTATCTTGTTAAAAATAAAAAATAGTCTTAGAACTGTGAATAAGCTGCTTAATCTTGAAATCTTGACCTTTAGTTTTAGCATTTTAGTTACCTTAGATATGTCTAAAATAAGTCAAAAAATAAAAATAAAAAAAAATCAAATTTTAAGTATGCACAATTATTGTTAACATCTTTGTAGAGATCTTTTCATGATTCTTACTCTGTATACTTTTATAAATAGAATGTTAATTCTGCAAGTAGTTGATTCCTCTTTATAAATTTTTTTATTCAGTGATATCATGAAAATCCTTTAATGTAAGCTGCTCTTAGGTCTGCAAAATCATATAAACTGACAGCATGATAAATTCTAGCATGCTAAATTATTTTCATGATTTATTAATTATTCAAATGCTGGTTATTTGTTTCAAATATTTTGTTACTATAGAATAACTTAAAACTGTCTTGCAACAGATTTCTAAGGTTTCTAAGATCAGGATATTTCATTATATTTAAATAAATTTGACACTACTTTTTATGTGTTGACATTACTGGGAATTTACTATAATTACGATTTCTATTCTTGCTTTATCAACTCTATCTTATTTAGAATATTTTACTCCAGAGTAAAGTTGTTTATTAAATAGAAAATGTTTGGGTAACTATATTTTTTAAAATAAAAATTTGGAAAGGGAAGTATTTTGAAGAATTAGATATGGTAGTTCAGTACCTTGATATTTATTCAATAGTGAAATACTTAAATGTGTGTGTTTTTTGGTGTGTTTTTTTTAATAGATTATCTTTCTCAAGGAATAGATCTTTCTGGAATAGAAGTAATAGAAAATGATTTACTTTTTATTGCAAGAGCTCGACTTGAAGTGGAAAATCAAGCTAAACGCCTCCTGGAACAGGGTGTAGAGACACAGGTAATAAAAGTAATAGCATTTTGTTAATGTGATAAATACATCGTAAGACAGATGAAGATTTGACTTTGAAGTTAAAAAACTAATATATGCCCTCATCGCTGAAGAACCATGTCTACAGTTTGAATTGTAGAGTAGGGTATGAAGTAAGTATAGGGAAATTTTATTTAATATATGTTTATCTAATTTTAAAAATAGATTACAAGATTTTAGTATGTGATATATATAATATGAGATAAAATTTATGTGTCTATGTAGATAGACAGTTAATACCTGTTGAATATGCTTATTTTGTCTTAAGCACTGTTACTTGTTTAAGCCTTTCAACAACCCAGTAAAGGCAGTATTGTCATTTCCATTTTACAAATGAGGAGACTGAGAACTTAACTAAGTTGTTGAAGATCACACAGCTATCACATGGTATATTTTGGATCCAGACATTAAGCACTCTAACCCCAGAATCCTGCACCATTTACAATCACTGTGTGTATATATTTATTTATTTGAGTGCGAGAAAGCAGAAGCAGGAGAGTGGCGAAGAGTGAGAGGGAGAAACAGTTCTCACTAAGCAGGGGATCCTGATCTGGGGCTCAATCAGTACCCCAGGATCATGACCTGAGTTGAAGGCAAACACTTAACTGACTGAACCATTCAGGGCCCCATCTGTGCCATAATTAAAAAAATATGTATTTTGGCTTGAGATATTTCTTAGGTATCATTTTCCTGTTGTTTAATATTCTATAGTTGAAGAAATCCAGTTATTGATGTAGTTGAATCAACAAATTAGATGTAATCTATTATTCTACATTTCAATTGCACCCAGATATTTTCTCCATTTGTATTGGACCCAAATACAATTATTAGTGTCTATTTGTTATTTGGATCCTTTAAACTAGGTGTTGTATTTTGTGTATTTGTACTGGACAAAAATAATTTTACAAATATTTTATTCTCTAAGTAGTCTCTAAATCAGGAAGGTACTTGTTTGACTTCTGATTCTTCGTGGTTAAAATTTAAAAAGCATAACTGAGTATCACTGTTTAAAATAAACTTTTGACATTGATTATTATATACATAATGAAAAGTGAATGGATGATACGTACATATAGAATGAAATACCATACACACACATGCATGTAGAGTGAAATACCACCATGTGAACACATCTGTGAAATCAAGCCCCAGTCAAGAAATGGGAAACTCCCAGCCCTTCACTCCCTCTCATAGTCACTGCTGTCCTTCTTTCCCGAAGGTAACCAGTATCCCAACTTAGAATACTGGAGCTGAGTTTTACCTGCTGCTGATTGTTCTGACTTTAGGTCTCACTGTGAAAGTAAACTGCTTATACTGTTAAAAAAAATAAGATACTCACCTACATCAAATTAGAGAAGATAATCTCAGAGAAATATTCAAGGAATTCCATGTCAACTTTGAATTAAGATGAATATTTCTATAGTAAGTTGATATCAGCCCATTTCATTTAGTTGTGAGAGGGGTAGCAATTAACATTTCAGAAAGTGAAGGATCCCAAGCCTTTTATATTCATCCAATGTCCATATTATCACTACCTTGCAGATTTCAAACTTTATGTAATACTATTTAAAATTTAAAAAAAATAAAATAAAATAAAATAAAATTTTTCCTGTGAAGTATGTATTGCTATGTATGTATGTACATATATGCTTATATCTTTAATCTATGCAATCCTTAGTATTTTATTATATTTCAGAGTCATGGGAATGAAGCCAAAAATGGTAGAAAAGAAGCATTACTAAAGTTTGTTTAACTAAAATACCATTTTTCAGTAGGGGTGGGTGATTTTCATATGGTGCAAAGGAATGGTTACTTTTTTTTTTTAAGATTTTATTTATTTATTTGACAGACAGAGATTACAAGTAGGCAGAGAGGCAGGCAGAGAGAGGAGGAAGCAGGCTCCCTGCTGAGCAGAGAGCCCCATGTGGGGCTCGATCCCAGGACTCTGAGATCATGACCTGAGCCGAAGGCAGAGGCTTTAACCCACTGAGCCACCCAGGCGCCCCGGAATGGTTACTTTTAAAGGCTTATTTTTTACAGTGTTCTTACATATCTAAAGTGGGGAAATATTTTCTAGGATAATTTTTCCTAACTAAATTCAATTTTAGGTATGTTTTTGTTTTTGGGTATCTTTTAACAGTTGTCAAATTTGACTTTGCTTCAGTTTTTAAATCATATTAAAATTAAAGTAGAACTGATAAACCTGTAAGAAATTAGTATCCTTAAATATTAATAGTGTTAAAAATTTGAATTGTATAAAGTTAATGAAAAGATTATTAAAGTAGGTAATTGTCATTATTTAGCTAATGGCCCATGTCTAATCAGTGAGATTAAGTTAGATAAAGAAAAAAAATAAAAATAATATGTGTCTTCATGGGTAGATGTGGGATAATCTGCATGGATCTGAGAAGAACAGCCAACAGGGAGCTATAGTTTTGTATGTCTCAGTGTGGTTTGAAGGAGGGTAGATTCTGCTTAGTAGATGGGTTATATTAGCAAAGTTTGTCGTTCATTAGTCAGCATTATCCAATTCATTTGTCTCGTTTAGATTCTATAAATATAAAGTAACCAACCTGAGAATAATTGGGCTTCCTACATAATTTTCTTAAAGGGAGAAAAGTGTACCAATCTGCCAGTATTAACATTCTGGTTCATTTTACAATTTCTACAGTATTTCTTGTGTATAAATTAATATTCATGTTTATAACATTTATTAATGAATTTAGTCACGTGTGTCTGTCTCTCTCAGACCTGAGTCCTCTGGGTTATTTTCACGATGTCAGCTTTCTGCCTTTGCAGAACTGACATTAAACCGTCATCAATAATGATGCTACTGAAATAGTGCTTCTTGGGAGACAGGGTGGAAGGAGTCTACATGGGAACCTTTTGCCTTACCTCTTAGAAAGCAGCAAGACAGAGGTGTCATCTGGCTGTGTTAGCAGGCAGTTCAGGAATTAAGAAAGAAACTAACCTTTATTGAATGCAGTTCTTTGCCAGGATTTGTGGTTAGTCACTATACATTTGTTATCTCAGTCGTAGGAACAAATATGTGAGGAAGATATAATTATCCACTTTTTATACTTAAGGAAACAAAGCCCTGGAAAGGTTAAGAAATTAGCTGGAGATTACACAGCTAGCAGGTGGTAGAATCATGGTCTGGGAATGCCTGCTTTCCACCTTTCTTAAATAAGACCAAGCACTTTATTCTAATTTTGTTAAATAATCATATTTTAAATTATTTGACAATCTGCAAAGTAATTTATGTTGAGAAGAATTTTTATACCATAAAAATTTCTTTGGGAAGTCTCCATGTGATGACTAATCTAAACCAGTTCTTTAGTATTCCTCAGAATTTTTATGTTTCTCTGGCCAACTTTTTTTTTCCCCCTATTCTCTGCAGTTAGTATTTCAGACTTTCTCTACTTTCCATCAACCTTGCCCACTTTGCCACACACTCCAGTTCACCCTGAGCAGATACTCTTAGTTTCTACTTTGTACACGGACCTCTCACGCTGCCTCTGCTGGGGGTCCCAGTGTCTTAGGAACCTTATCTCGTTGTATTTCCACATCTCCTTTCCGTTTTATGCTCTGTCTTGTGTTCTTTTCCTTCTCCTCAGCATTTAAACATGCATACTTGATGCCAGTTTCCCCTGTGTTCTCTGCTTTTCAGGCTCACAGGCTTGCTTTTCGTTTTTCACATGCCTGCTTTCCTTCCTTCTTTAGGGCTTTCATGTTCCTTTTAGGCCTGAAATACTCCTTCCACTTCCCATTAAAACAGATGCTGCAGCTTGCATCTATTTTATTCTCAAATCACATTCTCCCATTTATCAGATGTCACTGAAATAGTTAAATGTGGGGTACCTGGGTGGCTCAGTGGGTTAAAGCCTCTGCCTTCGGCTCAGGTCATGATCCCAGGGTCCTGGGATCGAGCCCCCCATTGGGCTCTCTGCTCAGCGGGGAGCCTGCTTCGCCCCCCCCCCCCCGCCCCTGCCGCCGCCTTCCTCTCTGCCTGCTTGTGATCTCTGTCTGTCAAATAAATAAATAAAATCTTAAAAAAAAAAAAGAAATAGTTAAATGTATTTTTAATATTTATTGTAAATATAGACTAAAAGAATGACAGCATTTTAATTTGAAGTATTATTGCAATAATGAAATATTGCACACTAATCAGTTTATAGGCTCATAACATGAACAGAGATTTTCAATAAATAAGGAACTTTTGAAAAATGTTATGTCATCACTTGCATTTAATAATCAACTTCTGACATTAATTTGGCTTCTCAAAAATAGTGATTTCTTTTTGAGTGTGTAGTTGATGGCCATCATTTTTAGTGTCAGTTAGTTATCAATCTTAACTTTATTAAAAGGAAGTTAGTGTATTTTCTTGGCCTTCTTTTTCCAAAACCAAAATTTTAGTAAATATAGATAATTTTTCTTTGATCATTACTGTTTTTTCCTGGTTAATTGCTTAAATGTGCTATTTTCATTTGTAGGTTTTAAATAGCTTTGTAGTATCACAAAATCTCTGCTATAGTGTTTCATAATTTCTCTTTTTGAAGACATAAGCTAAATGACTACTGAGGTATTGAAGAGCTCTTATTTCTTCCTGCATTAAAAAATATGAAAGTAAACTAACCTCACAAAGGCGGTATTATTTCTATATGGAAAAGATTCGTAGAGGTATCACTGCCATTTTCTTTATTAAGAGTTTGGAAGGAGGGGGCGCCTGGGTGGCTCGGTGGGTTAGGGCCCCTGCCTTCGGCTCAGGTCATGATCCCAGGGTCCTGGGATCGAGCCCCACGTCGGGCTCTCTGCTCTGCGGGGAGCCTGCTTCCCCCTCTCTCTCTGCCTGCCCCTCTGCCTACTTGTGATCTCCATCTGTCAAATAAATAAAATCTTAAAAAAAAAAAAAGTTAAAAAAAAAAGAGTTTGGAAGGATTGATGACTTGAAGTGCATCTTCTGGTGAAGC